GAGGCGAGCAGGACTCTGACTGAGAACAGAGGCCAAGGCTGGCTGGAGGCGGCACCTGCAAGGCCATGCGAGCGGGCAGGCGGCAGGTGTCACAGGCCCGAGGCCAGTGTGAGCTGGGTGTGGGGACTTCAGGGCGAGGCTCGGGCCTTTGTGCAGGCTCTGTTTCTCTTCCTGCTTCCAGGAGCCTCTCAAATCTCAGAGTGCTCATGTATCTGTGTGCCAGCCTCCTACTCCCTACCTAAAACCTTTTTTTAAATCTATGCATGTAAGAATCAGGGTGCAGGCCAAAGGTACAGGGGGTGAGACAAAGTGGGAAACAGCAGGTAGACTGACTGAAATCCATTGCAGCAGCGGGTGAGACAGGAGAGGTCTGCTGTGCCATGGGGGTCAGCTCCCTGGCTGGGTAGTGAACTCATGCTGCAGTGGCTGCCATAGCTTCACAGTGCTGCGCGTTAACCCCTGTGCCACCAGGGAGGGCCCTCCCTACCTAAAATCTGAAGTCACGTGAGGGCCTGCACCCATTTCTCCAGACCTTAGTTCCAGAGTTTGGATGAGTCTGGCAGGAGATCGAGACCCGCTCTCCCTGATTTCCTCTCTGGGAAATGAGCTCCCTGCAGTGAGGCTCAGAGGCGCACCCCAGCCCCCTGGCCCGGGAGTTTGCCCAAGTCTGTATCTTGTGTTTCTGCTTACCACGCACGGCACCCCTTGGGGAGGGCCCCCTGCCACCCAGGGCAGGTGTTCTGTGGCCACAGCCAGGGCAGGCCGCTCAAAGCATGTGGGGTGCAGAGCTGGCACTGCAGCTCGGTCCCCCAGAGAAGGGGCCCTCTTCTGGGGCTGACTGCCTGCCCCTGGGATGGGTCTTCTGGAAGGAAACTCCAGGCTTTCATGCCCCCGCCTGGTGAGAGTCCTGCTCACCAACTGAGTCCTGCCACCTCAGTTGTGGCATCCTTGGGGCGACAGGAGGTTCTTTCGAAGAACTTGGGAGAGAGCAGCAGGAGGCGGCACATCGCAGAGCCCAGAGACTGTAAGGACAAAATGTCTCTGGAGCCTTTTGCCTGGATCCCAGAAGCCCCGATTGGCAGGGACAGAGAGGAGGGGACCATTCCAGGCCTTCGAATAGCCTCAGTTTCTGGGTGGCCCCAGGCAGACCTCGTGAACCTTCTGAGTGGGGTTCTCCCATCACTTCCATTTTGGGGTCAGGGAGCTGGGGAGGCCATTATGAGCCGCCTTGACCCCGAGCGAGTGGGACCGTGGTGAGAGGAAACGGGCACTTTGTTCTGGACCGAGGAGAGGGGACAGTGGGTGACGCAACCCCATGGATGGCGGCCGCCTGAGTTCCCAGCCCCGAGCGGGACCTGGCAGTGAGAAACACTCCAGCTCTCAGCTAGCCAACGGTCCTCTTGGAGAGAAGGTGAGCACAGGTGCCATCACTTTCACTGCCCTGGGCATCCTCACGTGTGACTTGTGTGTAGGGGCTTGAGAAGCCGGGGAGAGTCATCACGGGTGGCTGAGGAAGGGGGCAGGCCGTGAGGGTGGGAGATGGAGGCCTGGGGGCACAGCCCTGGACCAGCCAGCACCGGACTTCACGGCCTGAGGCCTGGTTTTGCCTCTCAGAGCCGTGGTTTCTCCATTTATAACCTGGAGCCCACAAGTTCCTTCCTGCCTTGGAAGTGTTTTGGGGGAGCAGTTCTCATTCAGAGAGACGAGTTCCTGATTCTTGTGAAAACTTCCTGAGTAAGTGGTGTCTGTGGCTCCTCCAGTGAGTCTCCTTTGGGCCTGGACTTTGTTCGGGGCGGGCCGTGGTGGGCTTTTGGGACTGGGGAGGGACGGAGCGGAGGCCTGGGAGCCAGGTCAGGGATTATTTTTACTCCTGTTTGTGGCACCTGACCCTGGCTTAGTGATGCCATCTGTTCCCTCCTCTGGCTCAGCCTGGCAGGGTCCACATGGCCTTGCGGTCCTTGGCAAGGAGGAGCAAGAGTGGCTCCTTTTCTGGGCTGGTGTTGGCTTACCCCCGCACCCCCCTTCTGCTAGTCTGCTAGTCTCAGGCAGAGGCCACTTGGGAAGTTTTCCTGCTGGGGGAGGCCTCTGCCAGCCGGGGCTGCGGGCTGGGAGGCCGGGAGAGGCTGGCCAGTGAGAGCTGTGCACCCGGCCGCAAGCGGCTGGGAGCCTCTCCATTTCGGTAATGAATCCTGTGGCCCAGGGCCTTGGGTGACCCGCTGCCCTGCTTTGCCTGGGACAGGCCCCATCTTGGGGACATGGAGTGCAAATCCTCAGAAAACCTCACTCGTGGGCAGCATCTGTCACGAGTTTCTGGTTCTCCCCAGGTCTGGCATTCCGCTGGACTGCCGACTGCCCCGAGCCCAGCTTTTTGCAGAGGCCAAAGCTGCTTGTCTTATCCCAGCAGTCGATCTGTCTAGCTCCCCTCTGATGAAGGAAGGGTCTGGAGACTGCTGCCGCAGGCTCTCAGGGGCTTCTTACTGCGAGGAGTGGGGAAGTCGAGGAGTGGGGAAGTCGGGTCTCCCTCCTTTCTCCCTCTCCTAACCCTTGGGCCTCCCAGCTCCCTCCTCCTCACTCGAAGAACCCAGCTGCGTTTAGTGTCAGTTCCCAGAAGAAAACTAGGCTAAAGCCAGGTCGCACGAGGCCTCAGGTGTTAATAGTATTAATTAATGAACAGTAATTATTGTGAGCTATGAGGGCTTAAGGTATGTGCAGCTTTCTGGTTCTTTTAGGGCTTTAGACCTTCTCTGGGAGACGTTCATCCTTGTGGTTTGGTAATAGTGGTGCCGGTGTCAGGCCCTGTCCGTCTCATCTTATTGGCGATCACCCGGGACAGTCACACAGCTGTCCACGCACCCTGGAGCCTCCCAACCTTCTCTGAGTAGGGCCACAGGCAAAGTCCCTGTGGCGTGTCTAGAGGCCACGACAGAGATCCCCCAGGAGAGGAGGGCCCGGGTGCCAGCCACACGCTGCTGGGACAGGAAGGGCTTCCGTCTGGAGAGAAGCTGCCTCTCCTCTTAGTTCTGCCGGGGCCCAGAGGCATGGAGGGATTTGACCACGCCATTGGAACCTGCCTCTTGACTCCTACCTCCCCATACTTTCATTTCACAGACCCCCAAAGGCAGCTGTGTGCCAGAGTGCAGACCTGTACTGCATCTTCCTTTTCGTTTCCTCACACTAAATCCTGAGCACTTCACCCCCCAGAGAAATCTTCATTCCACAGAGAACTTACATACATCCATTTATTTGTTCTTTTATTTCTTTATTTTATTTTATTTTTTTAATAATAGAATAGTTTATTTTTATATAATCTTGTGCATTTTTCATCTCACTTGTAATCCCCTTGGGCTTCCCATCATCCATCCATGTTGCTGCAAAAGGCATGAGTTTTTTTTGATTGCTGAGTAATATTCCATTGTGTATATGTACCATGTCTTTTTAATCCAGTTATCCATCCATTTTAGGGCATTTGGGCTGTTTCCAATTGTGAATAAAGCAGCAGTAAGCATGGGGGTGCAGGTATCTTTTTGAATCAGTGTTTTTGTGTCTTTTGGGTGGGTACCTGGAGTGGGATTGCTGGGTCATAGGGAAGCTCCATGTTTAGCAGTTTGAGGAACCCCCAAACAGTTTTCCGTGGTGGTTGTACTAGTTTGCATTCCCACCAGCAATGCAGGAGAGTTCCTTTTTTCTCCACATCCTCGCCAACATTTGTTGTTGCTAGTTGTTTGAAGATGTGCCATTCTCACTGGGTATCTCATTGTGGTTTTAATTTGCATCTTCCTTATTACAAGGGATGTTGAACATTTTTTCATATGCTTGTCGGCCATCTGCATTTCCTCTTTGGAGAAGTCTCGTCTTTTTAGCTCTTCTGCCCGTTTTTTGATGGGGTTGTCTACTTTATTTTTGTTGAGTTTCATCAGTTCTCCGTATATTTTTCTGATCAATCCTTTATCGCTAGTTTTGTGTGAGAAAATTTTTTCCCAATCAGTGGGCTGTCTGTTTGTGTAATGTCTCTTTTGCTGTACAGAAGCTCTAACTTGATGTGGCCCCATCTATTTATCCTTGCCTTCACTATCGTTTCATTGGGTGCTGTATCTTTAAAGATGTTGCTGCAGTGTCTTTATTTTGTTTTTTAAAAAGATTTATTTATTTATGCATACAGAACTGGGGTACAGGCCAGAGTCGCAGGTGCAGTGAGAGGATTCACCAGAGACAGAGTGGGGAGCATAACAGGCTGACTGACTGAAACACACTGCTGAGGGGAGCCGTGGGCGGGTCAGGAGAGGTCTGCTGCGCCATGTGGGTCACCTCCAGGGCGGGGATCAAACTCAGGCTGAAGTGGCTTTAGCTTTCCAGTGCTGTGCTTTAACCTGCTCTACCACTAGGGAGGGCCTATTTCTTTATTTTATTATTATCAAGATTTATTTATTTATGCATACAAGAACTGGGGTGCAGGCCAGAGATGCAGGGGTGGAAGATTCACCAGTGATAGAGTGGGGAGCAGAATAGGCAGCTGGACTGAAATATACTGCTGAGAGGAGCAGCAGGCAGGTAGGAGAGGTCAGCTGTGCCCTGTGGGTCACCTCGGGGTGGGGATTGAACTCTAGTGGCTGGGGATAGCCTCATAGTCCTGCGACAACCCCGTGCGCCACAAGGGAGGCCCCAGTGTCAGATATCTTCATCCTTTTAACCTTTGTTGATTTAGTACCCCGGTACCCCTGGCCCTTCGTCCTGGTCTCCCCCTTCTCGGCCCTTTCTGGGCTCGGTGCCGCCTGGGTTGCTGTGCTCGTCTGACAGGGTGGGGAGCTCAGGTCTGCAGAGGGGAGATGACCCGCCCTAGATGCCCCGTTTCTTCCAGATCTTTTGCTTCCCTTTGCCCCCTGACCTCCCAGCTGTCCCTCAGAAGCCTCTGTGCTGTGAGTGGCTCGGTAAGGAAGGACTGCTGCTTTGGGGGCCCGGCACCCCCGGGGCTTGCTCCCCGCCCCGCAGTCCACACTGTTGCCATGGTCTCTGCCCACACAGGTCCAACGGGCGCTCCTCCAAGCGGAGCCTTGGAGGACAAGGCCGGCACCATTACCTCCAACGAGTGGAGCTCTCCCAACTCCCCCGAGGGGAGCAACGTCTCTGGGGGCAGCCAGGCATTGGACAAGCCCATCGACAATGATGCGGAGGGCGTGTGGAGCCCGGACATCGAGCAGAGCTTCCAGGAGGCGCTGGCCATCTACCCGCCCTGCGGCCGGCGCAAGATCATCCTGTCGGACGAGGGCAAGATGTACGGTAAGGAAACCGAGGCGCGGCTGCAGCCCCAGCCGTGGGGGAGTCGTGGCGAGGGACACTCGGGGTTCTCCCCAAGGGTCTGGGGGTGCCCGAGGACTCTGCTGCCTTCAGTGCTGGGTTCCCTGGGATGGGGGCTTCTGTACGCAGCCTTGGGAGTGGGCGTGGGCCCCGGCTCTGGTCCTCAGTCGCCAGTTCAGGCTGCTCGTCTGTCCTCACCAGCCCACCTCCGGGGTTGCTTGCTACCTCTGAGTCTTACTTATTTCTGCCCGTGGCTCTGCCCTGACTCGCCCCATAACACCCCTCCTCTGACCGCGTCCTGCTGATCATTGCTTCATGGGAGAAACTGATGTGTGCCGAGCTCCTGCTGGGCCAGGTGAGGCTGGGGCTTTCACAGTTACTCTGGAGCTGGTGCAGAATGGAGCCTCTGGGACTCCAGAACTTTCTGCTGCTTTCCTGGAGAACAGGATGGGTATGACTCATGACTTGAGGTGTGAAGGTGTGACTAGGTAGTGGGTGTACAGGGGAGCATGTCATTTATCTGGAGAACTGTTGGGGTCCCAGGCTGGAAAGCCAGGACCGGTGCCCAGACCTCTGTACAGGATACGGCTGTCTGATTTTTTTTTTTATTAAAAAGTTTATTTTACATCATTTTGCACATTTTTGTTTATTTTTTAAAAAGACTTTGTGCATACAGAGCTGGGGTACAGGCCAGAGGTGGGGGGCAGTGAGAGGATTCACCAGAGATGGAGTGGGTTGCTGAACAGGCAGATGGACTGAAATACACTGTTGAGGGGAGCAGCAGGCAGGACAGGAGAGGTCTGCTGCACCCTGTGGGTCACCTCTGAGCCGGGGATCGAACTCATGCTGCAGTGGCTGCGGTAGCTTCATAGTGCTACGCTTTAACCTGCTGTGCCACCAGGGAGGGCCCACCGCTGTCTGCTTTGCAGGGACACATGGTCTGGCCAACACAGGGTGCGGATGTTAGCAGAGGGATTGAGTGAGGGTGCTGTGGGTGTCTGGAAGGTGGAGAGTATCTGTGTCAGCTGTGAACCAGGCTTTGGATGCTGACCTTTTTTTTGGTGATAAAATAGATATCACCTAAATTTACCATTTCAACCGTTTTTTTTTTTTTTAATTATTTATTTATTTATACATACAGAACTGGGGTATAGGCCAGAGGTGCAGGGGCAGTGAGAGGATTCACCGGAGACAGAGTGGGGAGCAGAACAGATTGATTGACAAAGTACACTGCTGAGGGGAGCAGCGGGCAGGTCAGGAGGGATCTGCCGTGCCCCAGGTTCACCTCTGGGGCAGGCCGGGATCGAACTCACTCGGAAGTGGCTTTAGCTTCTCAGTGCTGTGCTTTAACCCGCTGCGCCACCAGGGAGGGCCCGTTTAAACCACTTTTAAGAACACGGCGGTGGCCTAAAGGGCGTTCACGTGTGTGCTGCCCTCTCCATCATCCCTCCACAGAACGTTTCTGTTTTCCTGCAGGGAGCCTCAGCACCCATTCAACACTTGCTCCCCCCACCCGTAGCCCCGTAACCTCGGGGCTTCCTGTCTGTGTGGATAGGGTTACTCTCAAGTACCTCCCCTAAGTGGAAGGCCCTGTTGTCCTCCTGTGAGGGGCTGGCTTCCTGGCCTCCGCAGTGAGGTTCTCAGGCACTTCCACGGTTGTAGCCTGTGTCAGTTTCCCTCCTTTTAATACGGACGAGGTCTCCACTGGCCCCAGAGCCTGCATTTTGCTTGTCCAGTTCCTCCGCTGGTGGCCATTTGGGTGGGTGCTTAGTTCTGCTGAGTTGAGAGACGTGGCTCTCTCTGTCCCCATTCCACATGCAAGGGAATTGGGGTTAAGGGACGATCTTCAGTCGCCAGACAGTTGTGGCCGAGCCATGGTTTGGGCACAGGGAGGCTGTGGACTCCAGCAGCCTGGTGTTGGGGTTCTGTTTGGCAGAAGGGAGCTGTTGCCTGGGGGATGGAGGGGGCTCTGGCCCAGTGGGTGTTCCCTGCCTGTGCTGCTTCCTTATGCTGAGAAAAGGTGGGCCAGAGGGTGGGGTGTCTGGACGTCCTGAGAGGCAAAGAGAGGAGGGGGCGAGCCAGGAGTCTGTTAACTATGGTAATAAGAGCAGGTGCTTCTCCATGTTTATTGCTGCTTTCTTTACAATAGGAAAGACATGGAATCAACCCAAATGCCCAAAAGCAGATGACTGGGTTAAAAAGATGTGTATGTACGTACACAATGGAACATTACTCAGCAATCAAAAAAGATAAACTCATGCCTTTTGCAGCAACATGGATGGAGCTGGAAGGGATCATGCTTAGTGAAATAAGCCAGAGAGAAAAAGAAAAATACCGATGGTTTCACTCATAGCAGGAGAATAAAGGACCCGGGGGGCGGGGAATAATAATAATGAACAGCTATATACCAGAGACATTTTACAGGGGTGGAGTGGGAATGGGGTGGGGGGAGGGAAGTGCACTGGACTGTGGTGATGGCACACAGGTGATTGGGTGATGGGAAGCCCATGGGGATTACAAGTGAGTTGGAAAAAGGCACAAAAGGATGTAAAAACAAACTATTATATTATTAAAAAAAAAAAAAAAGCAGGTGCTTTGGTGCACTTTGACGCCTGCTATCTCTTTAGTCTTGTCAAGGGAGGGAAGAGAGGAATTTTAACCTGCTTGCAGATGTGAAAATGGGAACCCAGAGGAGCTAAGAGTTTCTCCCAGAGTCTCCAGGGGGTCAGCGGGAGAGTGGGGGATCCCCATCACCCCAAATGGCCTATGTGGGCCTAGCAAATCCAGCCCCAGCATCCCTTCTCCTTCCCCTGCCTGCCTTCTGCTTGGCCTGGGCCCCAGGTGGGTCAGGCTCAGACAGGGGCCTGGAGGACGCTGGGTGGTGTCTGATGACTCCCCACCCCCACAGCACCTGTCCGCAGAGTACTGACCCTGCTGGGGCCCAGACGCTGGCTTGGCCCCATCTCTTCTTACCAGGCACAGGGGCTCTGCCAAGGCAGGACACGCAGGGAGCTGGTGGAGGGGCTGTCCACAGTGCTGACCTGTCCAGCTGGAAGGTATATATAGATGTGAGCTCAGCCGGTGTGTGGGACGGGCCCCAGGAAGGCCGAGAAAGGGGACGGTCGCCAGGCTGACTCAGACTCGTCTGCTCCGGCTGCTCTCATCTCCCCTTGAGACCACTCTCACTGTCCCCCGTGTGCTCTGGCTGCACCTGGAGCTCCCAAGAGCCCTGGACTTTTTGGTCCCCGATTTCTGCATCCAGAGACAGTCAATCCTGCAGGAGGGCCAGCCAGTGGGGCCCTGAGAACAAACCGGCGGGAGCAGGCCTCAGGAGAAAGAGCAGGTCACCGCCTGGTGCCCAGAGGCGGTTCTCGGCCGGGAGATGCCCAGGGCGGGGTTGGGGCTGCTCCCCGGGCAGGACATCGAGGGGCCAGGCAGACAAGCAGATGGGCGCAGCGCTGAGGGGCAGATTAGCAGCTGTTATTTCTGAGTCGAGCCTCCCACACTGTGTACCGGCTCCCGGCAGGGACCGTTTGCCCTGTCCTGGTCTTGGCGGCTTTCATTTTTGCCCTGTCACCGTGTGACCCTCAATCTGGCGCTGTCTCTCTGGCCACTCTGCCCTCTTTCAGCCAGTCTGGCCGCGGGGCACGGGGGTGGGTGGAGCGGAGGTGAGCACAGGGCAGTCCCTCGTCCCTCGCCTTGCCCGCCTCACAGCTCAGCTCCGGGCCTGGCTGCTCGTGTTCTCCCTCTTGCTGGCTCCGTCCTCGATGCACTTGTCCATTTCTGCCCACGGTGCCGCTCATCTTTCTGCAGGTTACTTTTTTTTTCTATAACAGTTTATTTTTACATCATTTTGTACATTTTTTCCCATCTCAGTTGTAATCCCCGCGGGTTCCCCATCACCGAGTCACCCATGTGCCATCACCGTAGTCCAGTGCATTTCCCTCCCCCACCCCGTTTTTGATCCCATCCCCCACTCCACCCCCACAAAATGTCTCTGGTATATGGTTGTTCATTATTTTTGTTATTTTCTCGCCTGCTATGACTGAAACCATCCGGTATTTTTCTTTCTCTTTCTGGCTTATCTCACTAAGCATGATCTTTTCCAGCTCCATCCAAGTTGCTGCAAAAGACATGTGTTTCTCTTTTTTGGTTGCTGAGTAATATTCCATTGTATATATGTACCACATCTTTCTAATCCAGTCATCTACTTTTGGGCATTTGGGCTGCTTCCATGTTTTTCCAATTGTGAATAAAGCAGCAGTAAACATGGGGGTGCAGGTATCTTTTTCAATCAGTGTTTTTGTGTCTTTTGGATAGATACCTAGGAGTGGGATTGCTGGGTCGTAGGGAAGCTCCATGTTTAGCAGTTTGAGGAACCTCCAGACAGTTTTCCATAGTGGTTGTACTAGTTTGCATTCCCGCCAGCAGTGCAGGAGACTTCCTTTTTCTCCACATCCTCGGCAACATTTGTTGTTGCTAGTTTGAAGATGTGCCATTCTCACTGGGGTGAGGTGGTATCTCATCGTGGTTTTAATTTGCATCTCCCTTATTATGAGTGATGTTGAACATTTTTTCATATGCTTGTTGGCCATCTCTGCAGGTTACTTTAGAACTTGCCTCTCTTCTGTCTGTCTCTCTGCCCCACTCCCTGGCCTCCCAGGTTGCCTGGTGCCAAGGCTTCCCTTTCCTGTTAGCAGTTTGTCGGTTCTTCCTACGTGCCCACCTTTGTGAGCCACCTGTGCCCTGTGCTCTAGAGCCGCCGTCTAAGTGGGAGAGCAGGAGAAACAATCGTAGAAAGTGGACTGGCTGCCAGGCAGGCGTCTCTTTTGTGCGCAGCCCATAAACGAGGGGGCTGGATTACCTCCAAATTTTCTGGAAGGAAGTGGGGCTTGAACTGGGTAGAGGAAGAAGGTGCCAGGCAAGGAGGGAGAGAGGGAGCATTGGCCCAGAGGTGGGGCTCTGTATGGTGTGTGAGGGAC